TGCGTCCGCACCGCCGTGGAAAGTCTCACTGGAGATGGAGCCGCCGGGCTGCGAACGTGGCGTTCGCCGGGGGTCAGATCGAGCCCCGCCGCGTGTCGTCGCCAGCCGGCTCTTTTCCGAAGACAGTCCCCCGGGGTCAACGCTGTGTTTTCAAGAAACGACCAGTAACTTTTTGGGTGAGACACGAGCACTGGGTTTCTTCCCTCTGCAAGATCAGATTATCCACGGGAAGACCTTTTTTTTTTGGACATGTAGGCCTGGGAATCCGTCGCTCTCAGGGAGCGTCCTTCACCATCTGCTCGTACATCTGTTAAATCCACTCAGGAACCACTGCATGAAGCCCTTGTTCTGCAGCCTGGGGGATAGATTAGCACTCCTTTTTATTTTCCCATACTGCCGTGGTGTGAACGCAAGGAAAAATTCAGATAGAACGGGTGTTTTGTGACATTTGAGACAGGTGTGCACATTTTAAACACTCGCAGTTCAATCTCCCGTGGAGTCTGAGCTGCAGGGGAACCCCTCTGTCGCATCTCGGGAGGCCGCGTGCTCGGGGTGGGCAGCCTGAGGAAGCAGAGGCTATTCTCTTACTTCCCCCGTTTTTAAAGCCTTTTCAAGAGGCTGTTTAATATTTCAGATGTACATTTCCCTCCTGCGGTGACTGATGAAAGCATTGAATTGAGCTTTTGAACGTTTTCCTGAATATTCATCTGCTTTAGTTCTTTTTCACATTCCTTTTTATTGCTTTCATCTGCCCGGATTTTAGATTATTTTTCTTTATTACATTTGTATTCTCCTTTCTTTTGAGCGCTCTGCCATGCGGAAGGCAAAAGAAAATGACCTGTTATTTGCTTTTGCTCTTCAAGGCCCAAATCCTGAAATGAATCCTCCTTAATCCAGACTCCCAAGGAGGGTCCAGCACAAGACTCATTGTTGCTGGTATATGTTTTACTTGTCACTCTCCAGCGATTTGCTATGAACTATTTACATAAATACAGATATGTACCTACAGAGATATGTGAGCCGCTCCTGTAACATCCAGATAACTGTAAACCCTTGAGAAGGCGCCTCCATGTTTATGCCTAGATTCATAGGACATGACTTGAGGGAGCTAATCACTATTACTGAGTTTGGAGCCAAGCTGTTTAAAGTCTTTTAACAGTTACCAGCCTCCTGAATGGGGGATTTGATGTTTAGATCAGCTAAATTGTTTGGGTTTTTCTGGGGGGGAGAAGGGGGCAGGGAGAGTCTGTCTTTCACCGTTGACTATGCCAAGAGTCTTAACATGAGTAATTTCCTGATTCTCTTCAATTAAATGGGTTGAATTGGGACCTTTGTGTTTAAAACAGACTTTAATTCCACGCTGGGTTCAACCCTTTTCACATCTCTGATCCAGAGACAAGACACTGTAAGGCTGCTATATCTCCGCAAGACGGTATGAATGTAGTGGTGGGATGGAAGAACAAACTTCATCCCGACTTGCTAGTGTTTAAACCGGATCTCACTTGACAGACCTTCAGACATGCAGTCTACGCTCCTAGTCCTGCTGTAAGTTTTATTCTTAGCCACGCTGATGGAAACGCTGAAGAACAACTTTTGATTTCCCTTGATAAGATTTCCTTAATGATGCTGGAGAGTTCAGTGTTTTCATTGATGCTCTCTGTGACAGGGGGACGGCAGGCAGCTCTTCTACCTCCCCCTTCTCAAGCCTGGCTATGTGGAGGGATTTGCAATGGTCTTCAATGGACCACAAAGGCTCTTTTGTTCTGTCGAAGCAGCAGAGCCAATAGAGCCCCAAAGAAGTCAGCATGGAAGGCATCACTCACCCGACCAAAAACAAAAGAATAAAGTGTGCAGCAATGCAAATTATGTCATAGAAAATTAACCCCGTCCAAACCCCTCCGTGTTCCTACAGAAGAGCCTGTCTGGCTGCCAGCATCTTTCTGCTGAATCCTATCGCTCCGCTTCAGGCTGTCAACCCCAATCACTGTCAGAACTGCTGATAATTAAGTATTGCCTCCTCTTTCCTCACCTCAGAAAATTGCAAAGGCCAACTAACGCTCTCTTGAAACTACTGTCAGGGGCCCAGACGATTGATAGTAGCATATCCTGTACTGGCATCCAGCTTGCTTTTTTAAAAATCAACTACATCATTATAGTCAATGAGAACTGTTAGCCTCAAAAGCATGTTTACGTGGTGTCTCTGAAGGCAGAGCTCCTCATTGAACAAACCTAGAAACCTAGTCTATGCTAAGAAAATTGCAATTGTAGGGGTAAATCGATTTAAAAATCAATCTAGTTACTCTGGTACGATATAAATACAATTTAATCTTAAATTGATTTGAACGTAGCTTCTACTGGTTTGATTTAATTTAGAGTGCTACCAATGTCTAAACAGCTTCACTTGCATTAAGAATTGGCACTGGTGAAGGCAGACTGATTTTTACATACATTTAATTATCAAAACAGGAGCAGATGTATCCTAACTCTGACGTGAGGATGGGAGAGTAGAAGTCCACACAGCTTCTTGATCAGTATATGCCCAGGCCCCACTCCACAAGTGCTAATGTTCAATGGAAAAGGAAGAGCTATACTCTCCTCCTCTTACTTTCATCCTTCAGTAAGTCCAATAACAGCAACATTCAACTTTTCCTGGCAGCACAATACTTCAGCTAAAGGATGGGTGCAAAGCTTTGTGTTAAAATGCATAGCTTTGCAGGATAAAATGTCTTCATCTCCCAGCTCCATGCCACAAGAATGAGAGCAAGTCAATGGAGATGAAAGCCAGATATTTCACAATTCTGCAAGGAAATACTTTGTGGGCAACATGTAATCAGTCTGTGGAACTCATTGCCACAGGATGCTGTTGCAGCCAAGAGCTTAACAAAGAGATTCCCTAACACTTCGTACCCCGGGGACTTTGCCAGCCCTCAAAATTTATCACAGACAACCATGTAGCTCTAGGCTCATGTGGGGCCTTGTGCCGGGGGCACAGTGCAGGGGGAAGGCTGTGACCATGCATTACATCCAAGCTGTATGTAATGCT